TTCTATAAACACAGACCTGATACAACTCCCCCTCCCCGTCCCCCTACACCACCACCACCACCACCTCTCACTCCCCCAACACCACCCTCAGCCCTGTGTTGATCTGGACAGCCCTTGAGCTCTGAACACAACAAGATGTGTTGAGTCTAAACTGCACAAACAGGAGCTTGTACAATGTACTGTGGTTTTCCTTTGGGTGGCAATGTTTAGTCCAGTTATGCCACTTGGAGGGGAAAGGCTGCTTTCACTGCCAGAGGAAGGACCTTTGTTAAAATACCTTTTACAACAGCTGAAACATAAAGAAGAAATTCTTCAATATACCTTAGTTTAAAATCTAAACAAAAGATAAGGAGGGATACAAGTAATTAGTAGTAGAGGATGAAAGTGCATTGAGAGAAATGGACCAGGAATGGTATTTACCATGCACACGGCACAGACCAACATCACTCAGGAACACTTTTACTGCTAATCTGGATAACATTTGATGATGTTATGCACCCACACTATTGAAAGTATGATGCTACCAGAAACCACTTTATTTATAAACCATGTGCAGCTACATGGAAGAGAATTGAATTTAGAGATACCGTCTCTAAGATATTGAATTTATATTTCACTTGATGCCCAAACACAAAGCAGTTCCTAATTGAGTAGCTGAAGGAAGATAGAAAGTTTTCAGAGACTTTTAAATCAATTTAAAAAAAATTTTAGCAATGTGTGCATTTAGGGCACTATCAAATATTACCTTGTAGGAACAATTTTAACCACAGTTACATCTGCAGATATTATTTGGTGTGTCTCTACTGGCTTTGCACATCTGACCATTGCATGTTTTGTCTATTCTTCAATGAAAATGTTTTTACTTGAAAAAGGTTCTTTGTGAAGCGAATTTAAGGCTTTGACTGGGCTACTGCAGTCTGTATTGGTCTGACTAATGAACTCTAGACAAAAGAATCATTTCTCACAGTGCCGAATTAAATTAGATTGTTTTAGAGTTTGGAAAATCTAATTTACATGTCTACAACTTTAAAAATGCATAATTTTGTTTATTATGGAACAATTAAGGAAACAATGACAGGGAACTTTATTGAACATAGCTGTTTACAGAATGACTTATGCTTTGTTCAAGAAATGTCTTTATATAGTAACAGCCATCTTTCCCTCGATTCAGATAAGCTTCCTGCTTCCTCCCGACAGCATGATACTGCCACCACCTTGTTAAGCTGTGGGGATGGTGTCCTTGGATTGAAGGGTTAAGGTGGGTTTGTTCCAGACATAGAAGTTTCCTTTGTGGCTAAAAAGTTCAGTTTGGTCTCATTTGACCTGAGGTCATTCCTCAGTATCTCTGGGGGAATTTCCAACATATATTTGTGGCAAAGTTAAAACATGCATTCTTATTTTCAACACTAATGAGATTATGATATTTTCTCATGATCCCATATGGGTATTAACTTCTTGACAACTATATCCCTATATAACCTGTTTGGAGAGTTTGTTTGGAGAGAGTCATCATGGTGTGATGCCTTGATGAGGTGTTTTTAAGCACAGATGCATCTTTAAGCTGCAGGACTCCAGCCCTTAAAGACTGAAGTTTGAGATCACTGATTTGGGGGCTTCATGGAAAAGGGTGGATACACATAAATCTATAAAATTAAGTTATTCTCACTTTTTCTTATTCTTTTTTATTTATGTTTTTCTAATTGTCATCTCATTTTAACATTTTAGATTTTTCTTTTTTTTTTTTTTGCAAAGATCTAAGGTTACAAAACATTAAAACCTTACTTAGCTGGAAGGAAAGAAAATGGGTTAAAAGGTCAGGGGATTAGAATTTCAGAAGACACTCTTAGTCATTTCAACAGTGTTACACCTCATCTGAAGATTTTTTTTGTAGCACCTTCATATTTAACATGGAGTTCTTGGCTGTGATGACAGTTTCCACATGTTTTTAGACCTTCTGCAAATTCATTCCACTCTTTTGGTTTTTGGAAGATGGATTAGACAATGATCCCTGAGCTGTTCGGGGCTTGGGATACCTTTTTAGAAACTTGTCCGGTTTTGAACTTAATACCAGTACCCCTACAGTTTGTTTGGTAATCCCTGGTCTTCATGAAGCTGTTTCTTTCTAGATGTTTCCTAAAACAACTATGTGGCAAAGGAATGCTGAGGCAAAAAAGCAGCAACAGAATGGAATAAAAAGCTGCACAATAAGCATAACCTGAGAAACAAAGACTTCCGGGGCAGGTTTAAAAAAAAACAATGTGCAAATGGTCTTGAATGACAAATTTAGATTCTGGGTTCATAAAAAAACATCATGTTAAAAACCAGTCAAAGCAAATAATTCTTGATCTGATTATGAACCTCTATAACCAGCAAGTTTGATTACACTTTTCAAGGTATAGAAGAACTGCACCGGTGTGAAAACATCTTCATGTCATAAATAGTCATAAAACAGTGGATAATAACGATATGCTCTGATCGATGTATGACTCTATTGCAAACAGGGAGAGATTGCAGTGACAGAAACAGGTCAGAATAAGGAGGGAAACAAAAAAATGATCTAACAGCTGGTAAGAAGTGGTGAAGACAAGACGTGCTGTCTGCGGCCTGTTTCTGGAAACTTGACAAAAAAAATCTGTTTGGTTGCTGACAACATAGAGTGTGCTTCGAAAAACGACTTTAGCTTTAGTAACCATGTATTTAAATCAGTAACAGTGAATCAATAATTTCAAAGGACAATGGACCATTGACCTGTCCAGGTTTACCTGACTTTCACCTGGCATACTTACCCACCTTAAATTCATTCAAAGGGGAAATGATGCAATTTTCGTACTTTTACTAAGGTTAGTTTCACAAGTAAGTGATAGTTTGAACCTCAAATCAGTAAGTATTTAGTGCAGTTTGCAGAAGGTGGTATGGGTTGGTGGATTCCCTAGTAAGCACCAACCTTATTCAGTGCACTGGGTTTATCAGTCTGTGGGCTAGGGTTCACAATGATGTCACAAAGTAGAACACACTTACCATAGTCTTTGTACTTCCATTTGATGTTAAACTCATGACAATTTAGGTTAATTTATTTGAAGTCACACTAGTAAGGCTACACTAGTTAATAGAAAAATTATTAGCAGGCAATATTGTAGTCCTGCCTCCCCCCTCACTATGCTCAGATTCAAAAAGACAGATGAGAACAAAGAGCATGTAACTTTATAATTGTAAGCAATATAAGAGTGTATCAAGTTTATGTTTTTGAAAAATAATATTTTTCATGTGCTTCTGGCTGATCTTTGGGTCTTAGTGCAGAAAGGGAAAGATGATAGACGCAGATGCAAGAATGAGAACGGCACAGGTGTGGAACAAAAACCAGGAAAGAAAACAACATAAAAAGAAAAACAGACAGAATTAGATGCAATACATTTTTAAAGGTATAGTGGAGGATTATTGCAAATTTTTAAAAGACCCGTCCTCTCCACTTTAAAAAAAATTTCAAATGATTCTGAAAGCATGCACAAGTCCATTTCTCCTCGTGCACGCTCTGTTTCAAAGTTGCTGTTTGCATCGCTTTCTTTCCAAAAGAAGATTTGCAATTTTATCACTATGTCAAACTCACCACTGGTAAGTGAAAATGGAGACGAGCAAGTAGGACGGACGTACGTAAACATATCATCAGAATGATTCACAATTAGGATGACCACTTACTTTGCTGATCCACCTGGAAAAAGAACATCCTCCGCTATACCTTTAATACATAGGTGGCATAAAGGACCCAACTCTGAACTGCAAATATTATAAAAATAACACCAAGACTGAATTGCAGTTTTAGTGTTTTTCCTTTTACCTTCAAATGAGAACATATTAATGAATTCTATTAATGAAAACCATTATATTCAACTTTAAGTAAATGTGGATATTTAATTATTTTTTGAGTGCACAAGTAGATTCAATAGTTCCTTTTTTTTTGGTAAACCAAATCTCCCTCATGATGACTGAATATTTGGTGGGCTAAGCCCCTGAGGATGAGAATATCTAGCTCCGCTCCTGGTCTGCTCAGACCCAAAGAGCATCAGTGTCCCTTCAGTCCAATTTATCGTTCAGGTGAATATCCAGCTACTTATAAGGATCAACTCTGTAAACATCAGTTCCAGATGCTCATTTGGAACCCCCAAAGCCTACAAAGATATGTGTCCACTATATACTGAGTTAGACTCATGTGAGAACCTCTGCAGGCTGGGGAGTTCTGCAGTGCAGAGGGTGAGCTGATGGAGAAGTGAGTAAATGGAGAAGTTTGCAATGGAGAGGGGTGATAAGTGATGTAACCAATGCAGTAGACAGTTTTCACACAAATGGATCTGAATTTGCACGAATCAATCCACAATATGGTTCATAGCTGAGTGATTTACATATATCTCTTGTGCTTCTTTCATTTATTTCAATGGAAATTAAATGTTCTTGTCCATCTTTCAGTGGAACATGGTGTCATTACTCTGATTCTCTTTCATTTTTCTACAATGTTTTTAGATCATTTCTGAGGAAAAGTAAGTTTGGATTTGGTTTCCAAAATGCATGTTTCTAATCTCGATCTCAAAAAACGAAATTTAAAGTTTGACTGAAGACTTTTAAGATGACAAAACTGAATGAAAATAAACTTTGGTACACAAGAGAACCGGCTATGTTTAATAGATTTTTACTTTCTCTTGATTAAAGCATGTTTTGTGTTCAACACAGAACCATTGGTAAGCGAATACAAGAGAAAACAATTCGCAGAAACTTCATAAGAATATTATCTAGGACAGTGAATCCATCCAGACTCATCTCAGCATCACTTGTTGCTTTAATCGTGGCCACAACTTAACCGTGAACTTCCCTGATCGGTTTTCACAGCAAGGTAGACAGACGCGCTGTTTGGGGATCGAACGCGATTGGCTGAGAAAGGGAGGCTGAATGCGCAGCAGCAGCTGAGCGCGCTGCGCTGCGCTCAAAGTCAAAAGACTTTAGTCGCAGCTCTCTCCGGGGCTTTCACACAACCCCCATAAAGTTGTGGGTAAAAAAATCAAGGTTCTTATCAAAGTGGGCTACTTTGTATAACTGTGTGTGTGTGCCCACTGACAGCAGACTTCTTGAAACTCGCTTCAAATCCTCCTCCAGGTGCCATCCTTGGGTTCAGGTCAGTGTCTCTAAAAACTTGTTAGATCGTCAGGCTCACAATCTGTTTTTTTAAAGTTTACATGCAGCTAACTGAATACAACTTACTAAACTAATGTAATATTTTGAAATGTGTATTTCTGTATTTATTGCTGTACATTTAAAATAAATCAGATGAAATGACCATGGGTTCGTATATATATAGTGCATAGGCTGTCCTAAGGAAAATAAAGCCGGATGGTTTATTATTTAAAGTTATGCACACAGAAACTAAACATGGTTTATGGTCTTAATTAGACATATATTCACGTTTAAATGTATAAACATATTATTATAATGTCTGATTATTCGTATTATAAATCTAGTGAAGTAACTAATGATGCATCTCTAGATTATAAAATAAGAGGGTTTTTTGTTTTGCTTTTGCATGTTGAGCATGTTTATGAAAAAATTAAGAAGTGTCGTTTATAATCTCGATAGATAATGTTTATTCCTTACTGCCCATCAGTGACATGTCCACTAGGAGCCCTAAAGTGTCCGAAGCGCCTGCTTCCTGTCAGCCATCGTCCTCCTGTCTGGACAGCAGCAGAGTCCTGGACCCCGCTCCAGACCTCGGAGCGGTCCCCGTGGCGCGGCCACCACTGCTGGCACGACGCCTGGTCCGTTTACGGGCATGCCGAAGCCACCTGAGCCCCGTTAGACGCCGCAAGAGGGAGATGATTCCCGCCGACAAGAAGGATGCCTCATACTGGGATAAGAGGCGCAAGAACAACGAAGCGGCCAAACGGTCCCGGGAGAAGCGCAGGATCAACGACCTGCTGATGGAGGGCCAGCTGCTGGCTCTGAGTGAGGAGAACGCCCAGCTGCGAGCTCAGGTGCTCAATCTGCAGTACCACACTAACCTGAGTGTGGAACAAGGCAAAACTGCATCTGCATGTGCAGCATCCCCTGCATCCGTGCTGGCTTCCACGCTCCCTCTATCCCCCCACAGCCCTGCTTTCCTACAGGTGGGACTTTGGCGTCAACCTGGGATCAGCTCAGCAGCTGTTTCTGGAGTGAGGCAACGGGAAACCGCGTTGAACCACTTAGAGGGCAAGATTCCTTGTTTTAACCCAATTTATAACCCGCTAGGTCATCATTATCTTGTCACACAGGGCCCCATGCGTCTATCAGGGCCCCGGGTCCTCTCCCATGGAGAAAGTGCAGGGGTGTGCAGGCCGGCAGAGGTGGACATTGACTCCCATCGACAGGTCAACAGTGAGGACATCTCCATGTCTGCTGACGCTTCCCCTCAGCCTTTCTCAGCTCTGCCAGGGCTTCTGTCCCCATTTGACCCACAGCATCATACCTCCACCGTTCCATACCCACATCCGAACTGGGTGCTACCTCATCTGAACCACCCTGCAATGTGGCGCCCCTCGTATCTACAGAAACCCACCGTCTACCCAGGCCGGTCCGTTCAGATGCAAGGGAGGCATGCCCAGGGTGTCGGCGTGGAGGAGCACATCCAAAGGAGATTGATGAGCCGCTTGAGTACGGAACAATGAGAGCAAGAGGGACACATGCAGCTGAAATGTGCAAATATGCAAAGGGTGATGCTTTGGCAAATCTGTTTAGAAGAAAATGCGCCAAAACAAGTTTTAAAATTGATACATATGCAAGTTTTTTTAAATGTTGTTAAATTGACATTGCCTAAATCCTGCAGGGTAGAAATGTAGCATATCCGGAGCGCATTTAATGTATGGTTCCCTTACAGCCAAATTGGTTCACATAAACCGATTTTCTGTGGCTTTTTTGAGGTTTTTATGCTTTTGTTGGTAATAAAGTTACATGGTTTAGAGGTTTTATTAACAAAATCATTAGTACCTTTGTGCTTAATAATCAAATTAAGCGTGACATATTCCGGTCTTTTTGGTGGAATAAAAATAATCACTTTAATTGTTTTTCATTTGATTCATTCAATTTGTTTTTTTTCTTCATTTTCTACATGTCTTTAAAAAAAAAAAAAAAAAACTTCTTAAACTGCGCCAGTGAAACCGAGTGCTGCAGTAATTGGTCTTCCCCTTGATCCCCACTGCGTGTTTCCCCAGCTCACTTTCACTCAATGGAAAGACAAACCTTCAACCGACCTGCCCAACAGTTTAACGAAAAAACATTCCGCCCTGAGCAAGCTCCGCAGCTTTCATATAAAAGTGGGAAGCAACCAAAAAAAAACCGAGATGCTGCTGGAAACTGAGAAAAAGTATTCCTTCCCCCCCGTTTTATATCAACGTTGAATTCTGATGCAAGAGGAAATATATAAAGTTTAAAGATCCACATTTTATTTAACACATTCGATACAAATTTGGATTTCGTTTACCCGCATTGTTTATTATTTTTGGTAAAGTAGATTTTTTTTTCTCAAAACCCTGCATGTCATTATAGTAAGCCTTCAAAACCATGTATAGATTTTTTATTAGTTTCTAATTTAAATATTCTTAGGCAAGAAACAAATATAATTCAGTGTTTTCTCGACCTCTGTGGAATATAACATACTGTAGTGTGAGATGTCAGGGAGTGTCCAGCAGAGGGCGCTACAACACAAGAAGCATTTCGCACTTATTGCCATCTGACCATTTGCCCCTGTTGGAGTTGTTGCTCTGCATAAATTAAAAACGCAGGTTTCAGTGGTCAGCTTATTTTGCAGCTTTAATGTTTAGGTTTAAAGTTAAATTAATTAAACTATCATGATTAATTTAAGTCCAAAATGCCTAAATTTAATGCAGCATCACATCCATCCATCCATTTTCTTACACGCTCGTCCCGAGTGGGGTCGCGAGGGGTGCTGGTGCTTATCTCCAGCAGTCAATGGGCGAGAGGCGGGGTACACCCTGGACAGGTCGCCAGTCCATCGCAGATGCAGCATCACAATTTATCATTTTTATTTTTTTTTCACGTATACTCAAAGACCACATACAGGTATTTAAGGTATTTTCTTAAATAGAAGATATGTTTTGTAATAGCATTTACAATATGTTAATATTTCATTTAGACTTGTTATTACTGTTATACTTCATTCAACTTATCTGTTGCACATCCTAAAAAAGATTGAATAAAGATAGATTCTATTTTGTGTTGCACGTCCATAACTACACTTATGTTACATTATCCCAAATTTTAAAACTATAAAAGGTGGAAAAATTAATTACCTCAATGTAAAATCTTTCTGAGATATGCAACATTGTCTATGCAGAGATATATAGTAAGGACAGAATAAAAGGCTCCAGTTGTGCAAATTTAAGTTGCTATAACTGTGAATTGACTGAACGTTTGCCTGTTACATCTAAGCTAGTAAGAAGAGTTTTTTTTCTTAAAAAAGCAGAAACACACTTGCAAACATGTTCTGTCACCTTTGACATCTACACAGATAACTAAATAGTTCTGTTTTTTTTCTGCGAATCTGAAGGCAACAAGATTTATTTAAAACTGCTGCAGAAAAAATACCTACTTAGATCACTCTCATCTTCACTGAGCCACAGTAAGTCAAAGCTTTGGGTTCTGTCTCTTTTACTGCAGCAACCATAACTCTAAAGCGGAAAAAAAAAAACAAGAATTAGGTCAAAATCTGAACTGTGAAGTCATTGGACAGAACTTACAACTTAATATAAAAAAATGCAGTTTAAGTTTACATAGCAATTCTGTAAAGACTCTATGCTTGTCTAAAGATTATATTAACCTACTTTTTCCCAACTCTTAGACTATAAAAGATATATCTATGAACTAAATGCTTATTACTAAACTCATGTACTTTTATGGTGCAATGCACAGAATGTGTCTAAAATTGACAGCAGCGTTGCAGAGGGAAGACCCCTGTGTTGGAAAGCCACTGATACCACAGTATGATTATGATCAAGGGGGGAGTCAGTTACTTTTCATGTGACAACAGAGGTGGACAGTCAGACTTAAGTACAGGAAAACAACACAAGGGTGAGAGAAAGCTTAGAAAGAAAGAGGTGAGCAGCAAGCTACTGCGATATCTCCTTTGGCACATGTGAGCCTTATTACCTGAAACAGTCTCAGAGTAGAGTTAGGGACCTAGCTCAGACTCTTATGTTCAGTGAGACCACGCTCAACTCTGCATAAGGTTCACCAACAGCTTGTGGTGTTTGAAGGTAAGGCTGACATTCTGCTCACAATAACCTTGGGAAGGATAGGGTTAAAGCAATAGTGACCAAAAATCATCATACATTTCTTATGTATTTATGAGCATTAACTTGTGACTGCAACTCAGTGTAGTTAGATAAGGTGAGAAAACCAAGTCACGTCCGCAAACATAAACCAAATATGTTATTCAAGTGCAATCAAAAGTGGTGTTCAGTGGTTTGGTAACTTATAATATATTGTAGCATCAAACTTGAATGTGTTTTCTCATGGTCATGTGTTAGATAAAAGGAATTATCAACTATTAAGTGTTAGGTGGTAGAAGAGGAAGTATCTCTGTGCTTTGCAAGGCTGGACGGGATTACGCAAAAGCGTTTATATGTATTTGTTTGTTTCTTTAAGCAAAGAACAGTAAAACACACTTTTACACAGGTGATCATTAATTATTTTTTAATTTCTCATTCGGTATAACAAAAAAGAGCATTGTTTTTTGTTTTGTTTTTGTTTACAGTTTTTACACCCATACAGGGTTTCTCTTAAAGATACTTTCCATCAATTTTCTTTAATCTCTTCATATATTGATAATAAGCTAATAAGAAAAAAAAATATAGATGTAGAACTTTGATCTACTGCACAGCAAGGCTTAAATAGTGGATCAGCGTTTACGAAGATAATGCTCATCTGCGAATAGTAGCGCAATCATTTTTTGATTAACTTGTTCAATGCTGTAATTATTGCATTTATTTCTTATAAATGTGATATTGTTTGTGGCATATCAGACAAGTATTGATCTTAAATCACAAGTTCAGCTTCCTTAATACATTTCGCATATTTTTTAGTTTATGTTATTGCACGGTCTAAAGATCCACTCTGGAATGCATCCAGAAAGAAAAAGGCAAATAAAAGGTCAGCTTTCAAAGTGTTCCTTGGCTTAAAAGAGGTGTTATTTACAGCATTACAATGTGTGGCATAAAGTAAAGGGGACCTTTTATAAATATCTTTTTGCATTTGAGCAGCCCATCCGCTAAGTGAAAACCTACAGAAAAGCTTATCTGAATATAACAGTGTTATAGATATTTGAATGAGAAACCTCATTTCATCAGTGATTTATTATGTACTCTTAGTAAAACTTATGGCAATGAGCCTGAATTTAGTAAATATAAAACCTGCTTTTATTTTTCCATTTTCCTTATGTTTTCATATATGAAGATTGTCACAACCCATTGAGTGCTTTTTATTTTTCATTTTTAGAATTTTCATAACATTTGGGGACAATTCATGACAAAATAAAATAAAAAAAAAACTGTATGTATTTAAAGGCAGTTTTAATCTGCTTAACTTCTTGCTGTATTTTCAACTTTAAGCCAATTCTACAATGAGGCAAAATCGACATATTATTAGTATTATATTATTTTAAATACATATTAGCCATTCCACATATACCAGGGTAGCTTTACTCTATGAACACTATATCTAAAGATGAGTCTGGTATCAGAGATGACAAGTTGCTTTTATAAAATATGAACCCCTGTTTGTATGGCCTTCGATATTTTGGATTATTTGTAGGGGTACCCGAATGTGTCTGTATGCAGCACTCAACACTCAAACAACAGCATGGGTTTCTATTACTAACTAATGTATTTTTTATAAGTAGGGTAGTCTATGGACCCTTTACTTCTCAAAATCCGTAATGCATTCACCGCTATTGATGCAAACTGCTGTTGACTGGCATTCTTCTTCTATGCATAGTCAGACATGTAAACACATTTCTGTGGTTCTTAGACATTTGTACTGATTAGCTGGAAAGAGCAGAAGAGACGTTAAAACAATGTTATTACATCTGTGCAATTATTAAATTGGTTAGTCCTTGATAAGCCGAACAGAGGAGAGGTACTAAAAGCACGCTTTTCCAACCCTGTCCCAAAGTGACAACTTTGCAGGTGGGGGAAATCATTAGAGTGTAGAGAATAGTCCCTGAAGATTATTTTGAGAAATGCACAAAGTGTATTAGAGACCAAAGGCAACCACCTTCCTGGAATGAGAGACCACAGCCCGGTTCTGGCATGCATTCACATTTAGCAGTGAGGAAACTACAGATTATACCAATCAGAAAAGCAGAATGTTAGATAGTGTTCAAGCACTGAAGGAATCTATGCGGACAGCTATGGAATATAACCCTAATCAGTCAGAGGTAGAAAAGCTGCTGATAAAAGAGAGAACCATATATTCCTATGATTGAGACTTCAGTAATAAAGCCATAACTTTTATTATTTTCTGCATAAAAACAAAATAAAATTAGAGACAGCAAATGTGATTAAAAATGTCAAAAACAAATTGTAAGCTGTACTTGAAGTACCTTGAACTGTACTTGATCAGAAGCTCCTTAATTAATATTTCCATTTTTGACATTTCCAAACTGAAATTTCAGAGAATACGAAAAGAAAGGAGAGCCTTCTTGCTAATTCCCCAGTATCTGTCCCACGGCATGATGGTGCCACGACACGACCACTGTATTTCAGCAATGGCATGATGATCGTTAAATGGCCTAATACTCTTGTTATGCTACTGTATGCAAACATCGTCATGTGCTAATCAATAATACAATAACATAGGCAGGGTTTTATATTTATCAGTTTTCCTTTACTTTAATGTTTCATTACTTTACTTTAATTTTTAAGATCTTTTCATAATGATCGGCAGCTTATAAGAGGTCCTTTATCTCTGATTATTAACTTTGGCTGCACAGGCACATGCTAGAAGATGGCTAATTCAAGGAAAACTGCTGTTTTATTTTGTTTTGTTTTTTACCACATTATTGAAGTTTATTTCTCATTAATTACTTTTAAAACCATATTGTGACTGAGATTGTTGCTTTTACACTATTTCTACTTTTTCTTTAAAAATATTTAATGTTTCCTTTCAGGATTGAATGCAACTATCCAAACTGTGATGCACTTAAAGTCGAAATGTAGCACTGGATCCTTGCATTCATCCCCAAACTCTCTGTCTGCTTTTTTAAAAACCGCACATTAAGTAAGGAGAGCTTATAAAGACACCTGTTTTTCCTTTCTAAATATAAATGATAATGTGAGTCACTCTATTGTAATATACCTAATTTAGACCTAAAACAACTATTTTGAAGTTGGTATAAGGATCAGTACAGTACAGCACAGTGCAGTACACAAGCCTTTATTTGACAGCACTAAAAGCTCATTTAAATATAATTCTATGAAGAGTATGATAGCAATGTAAGTGGCATTTAACTAGAAACTATTTAAGTAAACACACAAAATATGTTTTGTTGCAATACTTTATGTAAATTAAAGCTATTAATGGGGAAAATGGTTCAGAAAACGTTACAAAAAACAGCAAAAAGAACAATACGCTGCAAATAGTTGGAGCCGTAAAAGTGCTTGTACAATCAAATTAGAGCTGCAAGTTTAAGAGTTAAAAAATGTGTGTGAAGTCGCAAATGTGTGTTAGGTTGCTCAAATTTTCCTTGATGACAGTTTCAAACAAACACTAACAGAGTATAATCAGGTCATAGTCATATATATTAGAAGCAGCAAGGCCTTCCTATGAGACGTTATTTTAACAATGACTGGCAGCACATAGAGCAACAAAACAACAGATGGCAGAATGCATGGAAACGGATAGACACCAAAAGAAGAAGTTTGAAAGTTCCTTACTAAAAAGCAGACTGGCTATAATTAGTCAATAAGAAACAGGTGCAGCACGGGTGGAGAGCAGGCTCAACCTCAAGAGAGTTTTCACTCAGGAACCCTTTTTTTTATATTCTCTTCATCTGTGTCTCCCCGAGTGATTATTGTTCTCACTCTTCCTGTTGATGCTTTTTTAAATATACAACAGTCAGAGTGTCTCAGTAAACATGCAGGTGTGCAGGGTCTCTCAAACATAACCCCCCACAGGCAGAGGGTATGCATTCTTGCTGGGCATAGGTTTGAATATTTTTAACCTGATGTGTTTTCTCACCACCACACACAGGGTGCTTGGCTGGTCTTCTTTTAAACTCTGGCTTTGATGCATGAGGCACTGGGTTGCAATTGCATGCTAATAATTCACAACAAGACAGCAAGCAAAGCTTGAAAGGACAAAGAAACTAAACTTATATATAAAGACACATATTTTAAACAAACCGTTTTTATTTTGTATTAATACTTTGCTCCCAAGAGAGGACTATGTGCAACATACAGAGTGGCAGTTGCAAGCCTTCGATGTGCCCATGATGTCAAATTGAAATTACTTTACAAGTATAAAGGTGTGAAGAAAACATTGATAGTTGAAATGACATAGCCTTAAAGTCAGTGTGTGATCACAAGCAGAGTGTGAACACTATGGTTTCAAGATGTATACCCATCTTGCAAGGCTTCCCAGAAAGCAGCTCATAAATCTACGTTGATGAGTGCGAGTGTGCTAGAAGTTGTCAATATTTAGTTCCAGCTGATAAAGATATAATCTCAGTTGGGAGGCTTTTAATCCAAATGTTAAAGGGGAATGCCATTCTTTTTTTTACATTGGGCCCTTGATTTTACATTATTACATCATGTTCTACTCACTCATATGAGTTTTGTGTCATTTGAAGCCATTCTGAAGATATTCCGTTAGGTTATATTCAAGTAACGTCTTCCTATGGGCAACGAGTTCAAGGCACAAAATAAACTGTTCATAATTTATCATTTATGGTACGCCAGCATTCATAACATGTAGGCGAATCACTGTCCCCCAGACATCCGCTGTTATTTATATTTTTTTTAAAACAAAGCAGTGTGTATGACGTCATCCGCACGCCGGACTGGAGTTGTGACAGGCAGCCCGGGCCACAGGCGGCTACGCTCTACCCCTTCTATTCATTTGGCTAGCTACAGTAATCTGAATCGTTCAATTCAATTTCAACAGCGAGATCATCTTTGGTAGTAGCACTAGACATCTTCCAGGCATATGAGTAAAACTAGCAGCAGTTCAGCGGACAGGATGAAGGAACGGTAGCCGGCGCGTGCGGATGACGTCATACACACTCCGCTTCGTTTTTAAAAGATATAAATATAAAAAATATAACCGCGGATGTCTGGGGGACCTTGATTCGTCAACATGTTATGAATGCTGGCGTACCATACTGTAAATGATAGATTATGAACAGTTTAGTTTGTGCCTTCAACTCGTTGCCCATAGGAAGACGTTACTTGGATATAACAAAAACCAAATATCTTCAGAACAGCTCCAAATGACACAAAACTCATATGTGTGAATAGAACATGATGTAATAACGTAAAATCAAGGGCCCAATGTAAAAAAAACGGCGTTCCCCTTTAAGCTTAAAGCAGGTTAAATCAAGTAATTAAAATAGAGTATATAGGTGGGATTAAGTGGGAAAAAACAGCAAAAAGAAACAGACCTTAGAATGACCCCTTGATATCATTCTGACTGGGTCTGGTCCAAGGGTGAAACACATAAGCAACCAAACGCCTTTATGTAAAGTTCCAGGGAAACTTTTTGGCAGCGGAAAACCCTGAACTTTATCCAGTTCTTCCTTTCTGCACTTCCTGTTCTTTAGATGAAGAAAATATGAACCTAAAAAATTAATAATTAACTTAGAAGGTTGATATATTTAAACAACTCATACAGTAAAATCCCCATCTCTCACCAGCCCCTCATACACCTGGGCAGGGTGGGTGGATCTTTAATCACAAGCTCAGTTCCTCTACCGATAGCCCGGATTTAGAGGGTTCTTCTCAGTATCCTAGCTGTCCCTAGAGGTGCGCATTTATGGACTGAGATCTCTGATGTTTCTCCAGGCATCTGTTGCAGCCACTTCTCCACTGTGGGCCTACTGCCCCCAGTGCTGCAATAACAAAAGGCAGTTCAATCTTCAAAACTCACACGAAGAGAAAAGACAGTTAGGAGAAATTTATTGATTGACAGGGAACACAGTAAGAGTCCGGAAAGAATGACACTCTGATAAAGCTTTAGCTACGATGACGCAGGAAGGGCTGGAGGTGTGTTGAAACAGTGTCATCTGAATGAAGTCACACAGCGCAACCCACCCACCACCTTCGCACAGGAGCAGACTAGGGCGGATCGAGGCCTTTGAAGATGAGCAGATCGGTGCAGCATCGTGAGAGCTATAGTTAAACTGACAATGCCTACGTGCGTGCCAGTTGGATGTTGTAATACCTCAGGTAAAAGGGAAAAAAATTAGGATGCCGATTGGGTTTGGTGGAGGAGTGGTTCAAAGTTGATTGGCTGTGTCGCAGGTGGATGTTGGAAAGCAATTAGCTTCCACCTAGGCTCCATTACTGTTTCCTTCACCTTCTAGGCTCTTTCTCAGTCTTCCCTAAGCTATTGGTATTTTTCCAGTTTATCATGTTCTTTTCCCTCCGATGTTTCAATCATTTTGGTTGCCACATCAATCACTATGACTGTCCTCAGCTCAAAGATCACGTCTGGTTGGTTGGCCACAACCATTTGGTCCGTTTTATCTGGAATCCCCACAGGATCTTAGCTCTGTCATTCTCCACTACCTTGGGAGGTGGCTCCCATTTTGACCTGGGGGTCTCCAGTTTGTATTCTGCACAGATGTTTCTGTACACTATACCAGCCACGTTCCATGTATTCCCTTCCTGCCAGTATTACACACCCTGCTATAGGATGCTGGATTGTTTCTGGGGTCTGTTAGCAAGGCAGCACCTGGGATCCTTTTGGTATGGTAGATCTATTTGTCAGGTATAATGATAATATATTATTGAAATTTATTGATCTCACATTGGATTTAACCCATCCCCTTGGGGAGCAGTAAGCTGCCCTCGTGGGGTGCCCGGGGAACAGTGTGGGTTTAAGGAACTTGCTCAAAGACTCAGAGTGGCAATCTGTGGGAGTGGGGCTCGAACTCAGAACCTGCTGCCCCTCTGCTGCCATGATCAGTAACTCTATGCTATCCTTCAGCCTGGCCTACTCTCTCTCTCTCTCTCTCTCTCTCTCTCTCTCTCTCTCTCTCTCTCTCTATATATATATATATATATATATATATATATATATATACACACACACATGAGAGAGAGAGGGTTGGAGGCATTCTAAACAGTAATTTTGCAAGCATATATTATTGCATACTTATTAGAATTACTCCAACTTGACCAGTACCACAGCCCATTGACTTTAAATATCAATAAAACCTTTACACATCGAAAATGCGAATAAGGAAAGACTTATGTACTCAGTGTTTCCTGTTGCATTTCTCAAGTGGTCTAGACAGGTGGGAGGTGAGAATGGGTCAGGCAACTCAAAGATGTCGATCGTGAATGATCGTGCTCAGTTACAGTGCCTGCACCACAGTAGCCTTGATGGGTTTTTTGGAGCTGAAAAAAAAAAAAAAAAAACTTAGTTCTGTTCTACATGAAGAAACTCTTAAACATGCACATGATTCATGGCTTTATAAAAATAATATTAGTGGAATTCAATTCTTTGGGATAATTATTTCTAAGTATATTATTATTTCTTCTATAAAATATAAAATGTCATCTGGATAACATATCCAAAGGTGTTTTTTAGCATGGACCACCTAATACACATTTCATCAACTGTAATTTGTAATTTCGCCCCAAGTCAATTTTATTTTGCGCTTTTTTATAGCTGGTCTACTTCACTGATTTTCAGTAGGTAGAAAAAAGGAGCACGAAATAAAGAGCACAACGTTCTCAGTCAAATTTCTGACCACACTACTGCATAGAGATATATTGTGGTGCGGTGCTCTGAAAGGCTTTATTAAACACAATCACTGAAAATAGCATGCATCAAACACTTCAGCTTTAGTTTTACTGAATCTCAGGATTGGGTTTGACATGGCTGACCATAAAAGTTTTAGCTTGGACTGAATAACACTTCATGTCTAGCCTGTGCCAGTTGGAAGTCATAAATTTCAGCATAAAAACAAATAACAAATTATAATTAGGGTACCATTTTTAGCCCTCCTTTACTAAAATATATAGATTTTTGATTGATTGACTAATTGACTGATTGCCTTTACTGATCTCACAGTAGAGTAATTTACTCGTTACATTGGCTCAATAGTCAACAGTTGGATTTATTTAACAGGATTATTATGCAGGGTTATTGCAAATTGTATTAAATGGGTATTTGTATAAATGGGTATTTATATATATATATAGTTATTGCACAGGTTATCAAATACAAAAACAGGTTATTGCACAGAGTATAAAATAGTAATTTCACATTACATATTGCACAAGTTATTGCCATTATAGTGACGCATTGTGGTTTGATGGCAGGAGGGATGACTGGCCTGCGGTAGCACTTTTTACAAAAAGGGTGTAAAAATCTTTCACTGAATGATACGATCTGAGGTGAGAGCAAAAAAATAAAGCCAGTACCAGGACTGAAAAAGCAGTAATGGTATATTTTAAACACGGGGTGGTTGGAGTAAAGCCAGGCCAAGTGGAGCTGGTGGAAAAGAGGCATATTACTTATTTAGTATAGTTTGCAATTTGTTAACTTTTGTAGAGTGTGCAAAAAAACTAACCCAAAAAAATGACGAGCTATGATTTTCTTACAAAGCATAGTAAACTATGTCTGTATATTTTAGCTCTACTGTAAAACTATACCTAGCTATTAAAACAGTTCATCTTTAAACATTAGAAAAAAATGTTTTCAGTTCTCTGTTTTCAGCATGTTTCTGTTACACTTTCTCAGATGATTGGGTGTGGTATAGTGGAGGGGCAGATGTAGAGCCTTACCTAGGGGGGTTTGATCTGTGCATTTCTGTAAATAATCATCTCCTCTTTACTTTTACCCTTAGCATGGAGTCCCTTTCCCTTCCTTTCCAAAGAGGTCAAGAGAGCCCCGTTTTACATGTGGAAAGTGATCTGGTGCGTAAAGGACCACGTCGCAAAAGGGAATTCATACCTGAGGAGAAGAAGGATGCCTTCTATTGGGAAAAGCGTCGCAAGAACAACGAGGCAGCCAAAAGGTCCCGGGAGAAGAGGAGGTTGAATGACTATGCCCTGGAGACACATCTAATGGCTTTGAAAGAAGAAAACGCCAGACTTAGTGCTGAATTGATGGCCATTAAACTTCACTTTGGTCTGTCCCAATCCTCAGCCTACACGGCTCACCAAAGCAACCAGCTACATCCCCACAGTAGCACCACACCCAGCACCTTTCACCAATCCCTGCAGGGGAACTCCTACTGGGGTGCCAGAGATTCTTCTGTTGTGTCGGGCCATCAGTCTTTCAACCCATTTTTAGTCCCTGCATACTCCCTTCACACATTGAGGGGATATTCTTACCTAAACAGATCTGGTACTAGTGGATCTAGTGTTCTAGCTCCTCTTGTCCTTCCTCAAAATCTACTGCCACCCTATACACCCTTTCCTGGCGTTCCTCTTCTGAAGCCCTTTCCCAACCGAGCTACTTCTGATGAAGAGGAGGAGCAACAGGTACCGGGGGTGCTGCACGGATCCGCTCCACATCACAAAGCTGGCACAAGGAGAGACAAATCTTCTCCACAAAGGCAATACATCTCAGACTGACAAGTAAAGAGGGATTATTTGAACTTCAGTGAAACTTACTTGTTACAAGGCTATTTTTAACTAACATCTTTGAAATATTGCTAAAAAATCATTTAATTTGATGCCACACAATTCTATTTAAAACAGAAAAAGAACACACTGTTGACATATCCTGCAGTGAACAGTCTATCATCTTCTGCTGTGCCAGAATATACAAGAAGATGACCGTTTACACTACATATTGACCCCGCCCCCAAAAATGTGTAAATGTATAAAAAAAAAAAAAAAAACATGCTCATCATGCATCTCTGACCTCTGCAGCTTACAGCCTGTTCTTGCTTTAAGATTAAAACGCCGTCTTTATAAATAGCTGCGGTTCTAGACATAACCTTTCTGCACATCTGCTATAATACAAACTGTGAATTACCTAAAGGGACTTTCAGCTTACCAAATTTCTCCATGCAGCTTAAGTATTAGCATATTTACCACATCTGGTGGTTGATCAAAACTGACAAGTGGACTTCTAAACCCACAGCTGTTGAAGCCTAGTTGAGTATTTCTATGCATTTTACCTAATTCTGATAATAAAAAATGTGTTTTAATACATTACATTAGGCTCAAATTATGCAGTAAGTAGAAGAAAGAGATATAATTTCTTAGAAGTTTGGTTTTTCTAGTGTGGACACATTTAGTCATCTGTTTCAACCCCATTACCACAGCGTGTTTGAATGTTTTAGTGTTAAATGCAAACAGGATTTAAATTGTGTTGTAAAGATTCAAATAAACAGAAGTTTGAAACTGTTAAATACTTGTATTTTTTTTTTTTTTTACTAATTTCACAAATTCTTTAGGGGAAAAACGGGTTTACAGTAAAAATCTGATTTATCATTGAAATGTTATTCCTGTGGTTCAAAAAAAAAAAAAAAAAAATGTTCTGTTTTTTTTAATGAGTTTGACTTTCAGCTATTTAATGCCTAAAGAAACCTAAAGAAGAAACATCTATTATATCACAAAATTTAGTTTTAATACAAAAGGGTTATGATATGATCTAAATTATCATGGAGATAACAGATGACAGGTGTCTTTTAAACCAATAATTTAGAAATCCCAGCATAGTATATTAAAGGTCAGCAAGAAATGATCAATGGATCATTATCTATTCATTTTCGTCTTGATCACTGAGTCCAGAAATTCTTGCCATTCTTGCCCAATACATTAGGCAAGGCAAGGCAAATTTATTTGTATAGCACATTTCAGTACAAAGACAATGCAAAGTGCTTTACATGATTAAAATGTAGGACAATAAAACAGAATCAAAGCAAGTAGGAAAAAAAAATAAATAAAAAATGCAGAAACAAAAAAGAACAAAAAAACAGTTGGACTAAAGAAAATAAAAAAAAGTTGAACTAATGATGTTTCAGTTGAACTGTTTAACGAGAACAGTCGAAGGCAATCCTAAACAAATATGTTTTTAGTCTTGATTTAAAGGAACTCAGGCTTTGCGCACTTCTACAGTTTTCTGGAAGTTTGTTCCAGATAAGTGGAGCATAGGAACTAAATGCTGCTTCTCCATGTTTAGTTCTGGTTCTAGGTATGCAGAGCAGGCTGGAGCCAGAAGACCTGAGTGGTCTGGAGGGTTGATACACTGATAGCAAGTCTGTGATGTATTTAGGTGCTAAGCCATTCAGAGATTTATAGACTAATAGAAGTATTTTAAAGTCTATTCTCTGAGATACAGGGAGCCAGTGTAGGGACTTTAGAACCGGGGTGATGTGCTCTACTTTCTTAGTCTTAGTGCTGACACAGGCAGCAGCGTTCTGGATCAGCTGCAGCTGTCTGATCCACTTTTTAGGCAGACCTGTGAAAACACCGTTGCATTAATCAATTCAACTAAAAATAAACGCATGGATTAGTTTTTCCAGATCATGCTGAGACATTAGTCCTTTAATCCTGGAAATGTTCTTCAGGTGATAGAAAACTGACCTTGTAATTGTCTTTAAATGCTTTTGGAGGTTCAAGTCTAAATCCAGCACTACACCTAGATTTGGGGCCTGATCAGTGGTTACTAGCTGAAGGACTAAAACTATGTGCTATCTTTAGATCTCTCCTCTATTGGTCAAAGATTATTACTTCAGTTTTGTTGTTATTCAGTTGAAGAAAATTATTGCACATCCAGTCATTGAGGGGAGCATGTAGATATTGAATAGGAGGGAACCCAGGATGGACCATTGGGGGACCCCACATGTGATTTTTGTCATCTCTGAGGTAAAGTTACCAACTGATACAAAAAAGTCCCTGTCCTTTAAGTATGATTTAAACCAGTTGAGAGCTGTACCAGAGAGGCCGACCCAGTTTTCCAGGCTAACAGGATGGGGTGTTCGACAGTATCAAATGCTGCACTGAGGTCCAATAGTACTGTACCAGCACTGTGGTTCTTCTGCAGTCTGTATTTATACAGATTTTTGTATTTATATAAATAGAGTAGCATCTCACTCCTGACACATCCGGCAGTGACGTCATGGTGTGGTAAGCCTTGCGTCATTCTCCCCGCTTTACAAGCAAAATCAATGGGAGCAACTGGAGACCCCTGCAATCAACAAAAATTATTTAAAGTTTCGAGAGGACTTCACCATTGAAATTCGTGAGAGCTAAAGTTAAACTGACAATGCCTATGTGCATGCCAGTTGGATGTTGTAATACATTGGGTAAAAGTGAAAGAAAATTGTTATTTCATCTTTCCAATTCATGATCCACCGTGGGTTTGTCGTTGGATTGCCAACTTGAAGAGGGAGGATTTGGCATCAAACATTTGGCCAGAGACAAAACACGTAATATGTAGCCAACATTTTCAAGATGACTTGGTTAAAAGCACATGGTGACAAACACCAGATACAGCATTGGGACTTGATCAACAGCCGATACCGCACCGTGACATCACCAACCGAGAGGTGGCAGTAGTGTTCTTTGACAAACGTGGATGTCTCCGGTTATGCACATTCAAATGAAATTACTCTTAATAGAACACAGTTATCATTTGTTGATCAGTAAGTAATAATTTCATATTTAATGTACTTTCAGAAGTTTGAATTCTGAATATGACCAGACTTTTCCTTTAAGGCAAAATGAGGTAAAGTTGAATTGAAGGTTGAAAATAAGTGCACTAGCAGCAAGGAAAAGAACTGGCTCAAGAGGATTACAAAGCAAAACCCAGAGATCTAGGGGAATGTGAAAAGTTGGGAGCTGTGGATGCACCCAGGTGTCACTAAATGAATCCAATACTTGGGTTCTATTGATGCACTGCTTAACCAGAAGCAGCTTTAGAAGTATCTTAGAGCTCAGGAGAAATTGGACGGGGTGTTGTTCACTAGGCCACAGTCCCATTTTTCATTAAAAAAGGATAATGCATTTTATTTGGATATTATATCCTCTATTGATGTTACAGAAGATTGCAACTTTCTAAGAAAACATATTTGGATTTTCATCTGCTATAAGCCATTATCATCTGTAGGGACAAAACCATGAGATATTTACAGATAGAATACTGAACCGTATTGAGAGCAAACACACATAGATGTCGCTCTTTTGCTTTGCTTCAGGATCTGTGATGTATCTGATTAGGCCTGGAAGCAACGAACCAATTGAATGTCTTCTGGCGAAAGTACCTCATTCTTCAAACTCCAACCTAAAGATTACAGCTGCTTCAAAGAGAAAGCTATCTACAGTACACTTTTCTCTCTCTGAGTCTTACCAGGTTTCTAGTAAGTAAACCCATGTCATAACTTTTTAAGGTTATGACAAAGGTGTAAACAGCAACATGGTGTTGATGCATGTGTGCTTTCTGATCTACTCATCACATTTAACTGCTAAATAGGACTTAAGAGTCAGTTTAAGACAAGTATCTTTATGACTGCTAGGTAACTATCTCTTTGTCTAGGCAGCTTTCTAGGTCTCAACCATTAATAATTTTTTTGTTTTGGTTATTCCCTCAGGGATAATCGAATAATGTTAAGAATCAGTTACCCAGAAAGTTTTGACTTCTGATTGGCCCGAATCATTTAACAACATACTATTCTGACAAATAATGTTTTTTTTACTTCTCTGATTTGCATTGTGTATTGGTTTGAACACATTCTTCTTTTCTAATTTATTCTAAAAGCAAAGCTAATTAGACATCATTTCAAATTATTCAAGAAAAACTTTGTTTTCTTTAACATAAAATGGCGCATGACGCACTGGATAGCACTGCTGCCTTGCAGCAAGAAGGTTCTGGGTCAGTCCAAAAACATGACTTAGGTTAGGTGTGAGTGTCTGCGTGAGTGGTTGTTTGTCCTGTTTGTCTCTGTGTCCCCCTGCGATGGACTGGCGACCTGTCCAGGGTGTACCCCGCCTCTCCCCCGTAGACAGCTGGAGATAGGCGACCCCACTGGGGATTAAGCAAGTTAGAAGATGAAAATCCAAGGCAAACTTTGATATCAATGCGTGATTGTGTTGACAATAGGTCTCAACAATTTTTATGTTTTTCTTAATTTTACAGTAGTATCATTTTTATTAAATAATTCTTACATTGTTTTTAATGGACATTGTTGTGAATTCATTCCATGTAAAGAGTTCATTTTGTAACCATGGTTTAAGCTTAAATCAAACTTCGATCTGCTTTCCTAACAGGCAGATTGCTGGGTTTGTGTTTGAGAACAACGAGTGATAGTCCAAACATTATTGACTAAATTACCAAGTTACAGTATTATCCAGATTAACAGAAAGCAGCACTTGCAATTTATTGTATGTTATGAATCTATAGTTAAGATTTCAATGTTATTTATTGAAATAAATCAACCTATCAGTGACATTATCATTATTTGAGGTGAACATGTCTGTTTTGATCAGCCTTACCACCCCTACACACTCGGGTGCTGCGTTTTAGTGAATAAACTACATAATGAGTAGGTTTAAAGTCTGCTGTGGTGAAATTATTTTTAGTCAAACAAACCAAAGACTGAAAAAAAATCAAAACAGAAGGAGCAGCAGACCTCTCCCCTCCCTCTTCTATCTCTTGGCTGTTTAAGTCAGTAGCAGCTCAGGAAGCAGCAGGTTCCAGG